CAAAATCCTCGAATAGACCGGTCACTTTTTTGCCGCCAAAATCGCCCCGATTGGCACCCCGGTGCAGTGTGTCACGGACCGGCTGCAAACAACGCTTCGACCACATCCTACGCGGCGGGTGTTGAGTGGCTTGGTGCCTCGGCGCGGGGTCCCGTGAAGGGAAATAAAAGAGCCCGCAGCTTGGCAGCCACTGAACGGTGAAAATACAGAAGATTATCCTCTGGCGTGGCAGCCAGTTCCTATTTTGTTGTGAAGCGGGGTAGCTCGGATGGATGTGATAACCCTGGTGGTGGCTTGAAAGCCGGGTGGCATGGAAGCCTTGATATAATGATATAGTCTAGACAACAAGGACGTGGAAGTCCTGGTGGCGTGGAACCCGGGTGGCGTGATAGCCGAGTGGCGTGATAGCCGGGGAAAAGGATTTGACTATATAGGAAAGGAGGAAAGAAAAGGAACCGAACCACAACCCACATCATCACATCCTTGTAGATACCCACACCCTCAATCTTTTGATATGCGGCAAAGTTGGTACCACCAAATCCAATTCATAGCAACTGTTGGACCCCCAAACTCCCCGCTCCGTCTGCTTGGAAAATTCTTGCGTAAAATAATCTGTCGATGCTGTGAGTACATCCGACAGCCCCCCTACTCGCTTCATTGGCAAGATTATACCCGGACATGTGGAGACCACCTTCTTCATAAAGGTTGAAACTCCCCAAATGTCCGTCGAGGACGAAACCCTCTTTTCCACAGTGGTGTCGACGAAGAGATGTCAACGTGTCTGCTTTTGGTTGCAAAAGACACCGGTTCAAAACCCGCTGCTCACCTAATTTTCTTCCGGAGTACGGAAAAATGAAAAACGGTGGGTGGGCCACGAAACGATGCACTGTCTATCGAACTCGAAACTTCTGGCAATGCGTGGCGGAAGTGGCGCACCCGCACACACGAACAGAAGATTGTTGGAAAAAAGGTGGTTCAACTCGCCGCCAGCCGGTCGGGTTCCGCTTTCCCAAGCAGACTTCTCTTGCCTAGCAAACAAGAAGAGCCTCGAAAAAGGGGCGGGTAATGTGGAGACCACCTTCATAAAGGTTGAAACTCCCCAAACGTCTGTCGAGGACGAAACCCTCTTTTCCACAGACAGTTTAATTGCTATCTATCACTACTACTGCACACCCATTCCCGTGCCATATACATCTCCCTGGAAACAAACATTAGCGTTCGACAGTCCCACCACCTCATATATATTATTCCATTCTTGTCGTGACACTACAAACCCTTAAACCAGAAACACTCGTTATAATTCCCACAGGTTTAAAATCAAAGCCACACCCATTAAACCAGAATCACTTCCAAGAGCTCCCATAGGTCAATTTTTGAATCCAACTTTCCAGAAAATCAATTCATCAATAAGTAAAGCGAAATAACAAAAGAAACAAAAGCAAATAAATCACTGAGACAAATCACTTCAAATTCATCACGAAGTCCCTGTGGAACACAAACCCTCTCTCAGGTAGGACATTCGTAAGGAAGTCAGCATGCTGATATTGCGACGCTACGTGGACGATCTCTACCTCCTTCTCATCTACGAGCTGCCTGAGGAAGTGGTGTAGCACATCGATGTGCTTCGAGTTGGAATTCAAGATCGGGTGTTTTGCGATCTGGATAGCACCCTCGTTATCCTCATACAGGGGAATGTACGGCCGCAACTCCTTCGGCAACATGAAACGCCAAACCTGCCTCAAAAACAGAATCTCCTTTTCCATGTCCGCCATTGCAACGTATTCTGCCCGCGTAGTAGACAAGGTCACACACTTCTCAATCTTGGAAAACCATGCGATCGCTCCTCCTGCTTTCCAGTGGATCAAAGTCGGTGCACTACAGTACCTCGCCACTGATCACCGAATTCGCGATATCTGGCCTAGTCAACAAGGCAATCCACAGCAGCGAACCAATCAGCGCACGAAACGGGTGTTCTACGTTCGGCTCGTTCACGTCAAAGTCTCAAAGTCTCCAGGTAGTAGGCAAGGGAATGCTCCCCCCCCGAACGACACCAAATCTTTCTCCCAACTCTTCGGTGTATGTAAGCTGCGAAATCGTCAACCTGCCTGCCTCCCTGTCCCTCTCGTAATAGCAACCAGAGTACCACTTCAACTCCCCCAGAGACTTCACCGGCACGTACTCGCTCAGCTCCTTCCCAAACTGATCACACCTTTCCTTCTTCGCCACTGCAAAAATATCGTCTACGTGTACTACAAGAATCAAAACTACCCCCCCCCTTCGCCGCGGGGTGGCGTTATTCCCCCCCCCCCCCCCCCCCCC